GGTGGGTACCGGAGACATGGCTCAACAGTTAAGAGCACTGGCTGCTTTTGAGGAAGACTTGGATTTGCTGCCAAGTACCCACAAAGCAGCCAACAACTGTTTATACATGCAAGCAAAACATTCATACATGTAAAATTTAAAAATCAAAAAATGATTACATTTATTTACCTATTGTGTGTGTACATGTGTGCATGTGTGCATGTACATTATGACACATGTGTGGTCAGAGGACAACCTGCAGGAGTTGGCTCTGTCCTTCCACCATATGGGTCCCAAGGATCAAACTCAGGTTGTCAAACATGTAGCAAGTGCCTTTACAGACTGAGTCATCTCATCAGCATGTAGCTTATAATATCTAAATGACATTAATTTTATGTCCATACCTTCCTCTCTTGCTGTTTCTTATACTTTTCTCCACAGTTCAAGATAACAAAGTATAATCATCATTCATAATAATTTAATAATTTAAGGGGCTGGAGAGATGGCTCAGTGGTTAAGAACACTGGTTGTTCTTGCAGAAGATCTGAGTTCAAATCCTAGTACCCACAGGGCAGCTAACAACTGTCCATAACTCCAGTTCCATGGGATCTGACAGCCTCTTCTGTCTTCTATGGGCATTGCATGACATGGGTGCACTTACCTACACACAGGCAATACATGCATACACATAAAATAAAAATAAATAAAAGATTTAAAAAAATAATTTAATAATTTAAGACCAAACTTTGACCTGGAAATGTAATATACTCTGCTCAAACTGGAAAATAAAATTATTCTTCCCAAATATGGCCATCCAGTGTACTATAGAAACTAATTATTCAATAAAATCTGACTTTTTGTCTCTTCTCTCTGTTCTTTACCACCCTCTCTAAAATTCTGTAAGCTCCATCAAGTTGAGAGAGAGCAATCACAACACATTTTTTCCTAAGGTACATGCAACTTCTGAATCCAGAAATGGCAGAAAGTACATTTTCTTTAACATTCTGAGGAAACTGAGGTAGAAAAAAGCTAACGTAGTTCTTCAATAATATACATTAAGTAAAGCAGATTTAGAACCCACAGAAACTTTTCTGTCAGTGCAGTAAGAGGAAAGTCTGAGTTTGTGGGTGTAGATGCAGCTGGGCTAATAGTAGTGGGAAAAATATCAATGCTCTTGTATGACTATAGATATAGATATAGATAGATATAGTAGCTCTTTTTGAGTTTATCAGCTGAGGAGCTGGGGGAAGAAAACAGAGGAGATTTGAGAAATAAAATGAGAAGAAATTCTTGTTTGAGAGAGAAGAAAAGTGAATTATTACAAAGATTGGCAGTGCTGAATGCCCCTTTGAAATTAATGGTCATGCCGGTCATGGTGACACATACCTTTAATCCCAGCACTCAGGAGGCAGAGGCAGGAGGGATCTCTGTGAATTCAAGACCAGCCTGGTCCACGTAGCAAGTTCCAGGCCAGTTGGGGCTACAGGGATACCTTATCTCAAAAGATAAAAAAAAAAAAAAAGAAAAAAGAGAAAAGAAAAGAAAGCAACGGTTATGGATTTGAAATGAAGCTATTTGACTTGGTGGATGATATTTTCTAGCTAATTTCAGGTATCTAACAGGAGGCATAAAAAACAGTTGGCTTTAACCAGATAATAGGGGGGTTTTCTTAGGCAATTGGGACCTATGAAGAAAGAAAGGAGCCAGGGCATGGTGATAGTATGGAACCATGGAATCTAGGTTAGGTCAGGAAGAATGTATGTTCAGTAAGGATATGATAGATTCAAACAGGTGGTAGGGTCAAAGCATTGGAGATCTAGGAGGGAGAAAAGTAGCTGGAGTATGGACACTGAGGTAAGAGACTAAGTGCTGGTCAGAGAGTGAGATGTTTGGAAAAGAGGTTTCAAATGAAGTGCGATTGGTAAGGATGGAACAGATTAAAACCTTGTGGATGGGGGGGGCCAAGTAGGCACAAAATAAAAGACACCTGGATCAAAAAGGCTAGCGCACTCAATGAGTCCTCTATCTGCATACTGAGGTCATTCAGAGAAGACAGAAGCAGTTAGTACAGGAGAGTCATGGTAAAGGTTCAGAAATGACAAAAAGGTCAAAGGAGGAAAGTCTGATATTACATATTTGAAAGATATGGGATGACTGAAGGGGAAAAGAGGCAATTTGGAAGTTGTGATGGCTAACAAGGATACCTGCCTCCTTCTGGGCTCTGAGGTTTGTGAGCTAGTAAAAAATCAAGGTGTAATTTGAGGAGTCAAGCAAAAGGGTGAAGGGACTATTCAGAGAAGTGGCTGAGAATGTAGCACAGTGCTTATATATGGTGTGTTCTCCATCAATCTTAATCTTAATTTTTCTAATTGTTTACAATATCTTAAAAAGGAAAAAAAATCAGAACTTATTTGCAAAAATCTGGAACAGATTGAAAAGGAAATGGTCTTCTAATGATTGTACTCTCTAAAGCCATGAAAGATTCATCTCCAAAAATTAGTTCCCTAGCCAAGATAAACAGAGTCAAACAGAATCTTATTGTTTTTGGCTTGATATAAATGGACAGCTCACTATTATAAAATAAAACCAGGCATTCTCTTGCATAAGAATCCAACCCCTGAAGAATAAAATGAAGTCAATTCTGCCTTGGTGAAATTTAGAAAACAGCTTCTCTGAGAATGAGCTGACCAAAGTTAACTCTATTACACAGAGTTCAAACAAAGAAATCTAGGTAGCTATGGGCTAAAAATAAATGAGATTCCATAAATGTAATCTTCGGAGTATAATGCAATACATTTTGAAATATGTTATCCTTCATCAGGTAGCAATATGATAATATAACTTTGGGGGTATGTCTTTTTTTAAATATTTTATTTATTATTTTTATTTTATGTGTATGCGTGTATTGCCTGCATATAGGTAAGTGCACCCATGTCGTGCAATGCCCGTGGAGGACAGAAGAGGTTGTCGGATCCCCTGGAAATGGAGTTATGGACAGTTGTTAGCTGTCATGTTGATGCTGGGATTTGAACCTGGTTCTCTGCAAGAATAGCCAGTGTTCTTAACTGCTGAGCCATCTCTCCAGCCCCCAAGAGGTATGTCTTCATGGGAAGAGAAGTTCGCAATGACATAGCTTTTATTTCTTTTAAATTTGTTCTGAACCTTTCTTTTTCACATTTTACTCATTTGTTTCATGTGCTATGGGTGCACACATGTGCATGTATGTAAGCATGTACACACATGCTATCCCATGTATATGGAGGTTAAAAGACAACTTGTGGGAGCTCTGTTATCTGTATCCACCCATGTGGGTTCTGGGGATCAAACTCAGGTCATCTGGTTTGATAGCAAATGCTTTCACCCACTGAGCCATCTTGCTGCCTAAATATGTACATAAGACTAAGTATCATACTTTTTATGCTCTAATAAGAATATCATTTCTGCTTTATAACCACAGTGTCTCCTTAGCATTTCAACTAAACTGTCTGTACACAGTTCATGAGACTCTATAGTTCTTTATGATCTTAGGTACATAATAAAAACACCCAACTTTAGCATTTTTATCTAGGATCTACCTTAAACTCAGTGTTTTGCTTTATCGTGGTATTTGATGGGTTTAATTATGACTATGAATCAGGATGTGGACTGGTGCAACTGCAGACTAGTTCAAAGGGTTCTTCATTTCCATCTTCCTCATATGCTGTGAGGTTTTTGTCACTAGACAGGAAGTTTATCAGAAGTTATATTATGCTGTTATGGTAGATAAACTCCCCTATTTCAACAAGCCTAATATGATGTGTCAGAGAAAGTAACTGGTCAGCAACGTACTATGCTTGCTGACTTATTACACGGAGCCAGGAGCAAATTGTTTCCCCTCTCCCTGAAGAACTTGGATGGAAATAATCTCTCTTTTACCAAATTTCTTTAGTGCTTTGTATATTTCTTACGGGAATTTCTGGATTAGAGTGGTTTCTGTGCCTGACTTATTTTTCCTCTAGACAATAAGCATCTGCTATACATCTCTGGATGCCCCCCGAATATATCAGTATTATTTTTATTTTAATGCCTAGCACTAGTAGGTAGAACAAGTGCATAGTAATATTATTAAAATCAAGCTCAACAATACTATGGATTACACATAAATAGGCTTCAGTGGCTTGGTCTAGAATCTTATCAACATTTACCTAAAATAGGAAATGCTTTGAGTCACAAAAACATAGTTTACAAGGCCCCACCAGAAAACAGTTTATATGAAGTATACAGCAAGTATGGCTAGGAAGACTCTAACGAGCAAGTCCGCAGTGTAGTATACTAGCTTTTCCAACTTTTCAAATAAAAGAGAGCCACTCTTCAATCTTTAAAAAAAAACAGTAATTTAGGGGTTGGAGAGATGGCTCAGTGATTAAGAGCATATACTGCTCTTGCAGGGGACCCAAGTTTGGTTCCCAGCACCAAAGTGAGGCAGCTCATAACCACCTATAACTCAAGCTCCACAGGATCCAGTGACCTCTTCTGGCCTCTGAGGGTACCTGTATGTGAACATACTCCCAAAGACACACATACAAAATTTTTAAAGAATCTTTTAAAAATATGGTACTTTATGAAATAAAGATGGAATTAAAAATTACATTTTGGGGGCTGGAGAGATAGCTCAGTGGTTAAGAGCACTGGTTGTTCTTGCAGAAGACCTGGGTTCAAATCCCAGCACCCACATGGCAGCTAACAACTGTCTATAACTCCAGTCCCAGGGTATCCGACAGCCTCTTCTGACCTCCACGGGCATTGCATGACATGGGTGCACTGACCTACATGCAGGCAATATATGCATACACATAAAATAAAAATAAAAAAAGAAGCAAGTTTAAAAAAAATTACATTTTGTAAAAGCAGTGAGAAAATGTTTCTAACATAAAATGTACATATATTTGCTCAAGTGAACATTTTGAATGTCCTTCCATTAATCTGGAAAATCTAGGTTAAGCAATGAAATTTCATATTGACAGATCAAAATTTCAACTTACCATTTATGTTTATTGCTGGCAATACAATCGACATTTTTGGTCTTGTAGTCTTGTTATGGGTGGTAGCTGGTAACAGTAGGTGATCCTAAAATTAATAAAGAACAATATGTTACATGTAACAACTGGCTTAGTCCTAGAACATGCCAAATTTAGAATGTTTTTGATGTTTTATTTTATGTGTATGAGTGTATTGTTTGATTGTAGGTAGATGCATCCATGTCATGAAATACCCATGGAGATCAGAAGAGGGTGTTGGATCCCCTGGAACTGCAGTTACAGATGGTTGTTAGCCACCTTGTGTTGGGAACCGAACCCAGGGTCCTCTGCAAGAGCAGTCAGTGCTCTTAACTGACTGAGCCGAGCCATCTCTCCAGCCCCAAGACAAGGATTTTTATTTTGACAGCAGCCCCAGCTGTCCTGGAACTCACTATATAGACCAGGCTCGCCTTGATCTCACAGAGATGGGCCTGCCTCTGCCTCCTGAGTACTGGGATTAGAGGTGAGGGCCACCATGCTTGATGTAAGACAAGGGGTTTTGATTCTGGTTCTGCCACTAAGTAGCTGTAGAAGCTGGACAAGACTGAGTACTCTTTCCAGGTCTGTTTCTAATCCTATAAAACCATGGGGACTAGATTAGATAATATCATAAGACAGCAGAGTAGCTACCCACTAAACAATCATTTTCAAACCTTTTTTTTAAAGGAGAGAAACTTTTTGTCCTCCAAAATTCTCCCAAATTATTAATAATATTGATAATATATTAATAATATTAATAAGTAAAATATGCCTTTTCTCTTCCTTTGAGGTGGCTGCAACATTAGATAGTTGTGTCAGAAACACACTAAATAAATGTATAGCTCTTCCCCTTAAAAACTGTACAATTTGGGACTGGAGCTTAGTTGGTAAAGTGCTTGCTGTAAAAGCATGAAGACTTGAGTTTAAGCCCTGGAATCCACATATAAAAAGCCAGGTTTGGCAGCCTGTGCTTGTAATCCCAGCACTGGGGGCAGAAGGATCCCTGGGGCTTGATGGCCAGTCAGTCTAGCCTAGTTGGAGAGCTCTAGGCCAAGTAACAGACTCTGTGTCAAGAAATAAGGTGGATAGATTCCGAGGAGCAATACCTGACTCACCTCTGGCCACACCCCTGCTCACACATGTCCACATGCACTCTGACAAAAAGCATATAGTTCATGTAGAAGAGTTTAAAGAATTATGTTTGCCTAGTAAGATTATATAGTTCTAAAATAGCATAGCCAACATTTTTATGTTTTACTTATTTTTATTTATACATATGAGTGTTTTGCCTCACGTATATGCATGTACCCATGTCATCCAATGCTCACGGACACCAGAAGAGGGTGTTAGATCCTCTGGAACTAGAGTTACATAAAGCTGTCAGCCATCACATGGGCATGGGAACTGAATCTGGGTCTTCTACAAGAGCAGCCAGTACTCTTAAGCTCCAAACCATCTCTCCAACCCCATAGCCAACTTTTGATGATCTATAAGTAAATCAGAGTCCATTTCTCCAGCCCCATAGCCAACTTCTGATGATCTGTAAGTAAATCAGAGTATCTGGGGTTCCTGGTACCCAACCACACAATTACTAAAAGAATGCACTATGTGGAGTCTGACTTCAGAAACAGGGGCGTATGAGTATTTTGGAAAATGTAGATACAGCTCTAGACATTCTAAAGCTGATTATAAATGACTTATGACAGACATTAACTACTATTTTCAACAACTCTTTCCTAGCAAAAACATAGAATTTTCATGGCAGGGGGACGATACGCAATATTTCTATTTAGGAACATGTTAAACTAAGACAGAACAGAACCCAAGCTGAACCTATTTGACATTTTTTGTTACTGTTGTTCCTATTTTTACTGTTCTATCATTCACCCAGCAACCTTGCTCTATGGAAGAACTCTTGAAATGTAGGATATGGATGAAAGTGATAAAAATTCAATGCAACTTAGTTCAAAGTCACTGTGACTAAGAAATGCAATTACCAGCAAGGTAAAGAAAAAAACCTATATTGTGAAAAACAAATCGGAATTGGTGTCTGTGAACAGAACTGTGTGGGAAACATTTCTAGCAACTGCCTGTGCTTTGCATAACTCAAGGCAACTTTCCACAAGAACACATTATTTTAAGTGAGGGAAGAAGAGTGAGGACTGTTAGAATTCCAGCACTGTAGCAAGGAAAGGTATTTTTTTCTTTTTCATGTTTCTTTTAACTGCATTGTTAGACAAGATCACATATTTCTGAGTAAGATAACATATTATAACTCCGAAGAAACACATTTTGCTCATCTTCTTGCTATGAAAATTATAAATAGCTCAATTCCTAGAACTAAAATATTGTTTCATGCGCTCTAAATTGAATGAGAAAACAACCCTCAAAAACTTGCAAGCTGCTCTCTCTGATCCTCAGGCCTCTCTCTCTCTCTGGGGTAAGTCTATCCTGCCCTCCATGCCTTGACTCCCCCAGCCTCACTCACCCTCCCATCTCCCCTGCTGGTCTCGTCCTAGCCTGGGTCCTGTCCCATTCCTTGTCTTGGTGCCCCAAATACCTGGGAAACCACCACTGCTTCCTGATCCTGTACATCCAGACCAACTCGGTTCCTTCTCTGGTCCCCAGGGGCGCTCTGGGCCTGGCCCCGCCCTCACCTCCCCCTGCCTCCCTGGGTCTGCACAAGCCAGCAGCCTCCTTCCTGGATGCCAGGGCTGACCTTTCCTCTTCCTGGTCCTTTGCATCCAGACCAACCCAGTACAGTCCCAGGGGCCCTTGGGACCGCCTCCCGCCCCCATCTTTCTTTGCATCTCTGGGTGGCACAGCCACCAGCTGCCCTAGATCAGCATCTTTCCTGGGCCCAGCTCCCAGGCCAGTCCAAACCCAAATTCCTGAGGCCAAAATCTATCCTGGAGGGATCCAGACCTCAGGAGAAAGCCTCAGAGCATCTGATTCTCATATGACTTGGGCCACTGTGGGAACCCCTGAAGACAAAAGCAATCTGGCCACTCCAATACAAAATCAAAAGAGAGAACCGGAAGCTTAGAGGAACCAGCCTTTCATACCCAAAACGTTCACAAAAAGTTCACAAAAGAAGCAGACCTAAACTTGAAGGCTTGAGTCTCAAACAACAATCAGAAACTACAAAAGAAATTCACGTCAAAATTATTATAATATGAAAAAGCCAAATAATATATCCCCTCCAAGTACCAACAGTCCTGTAGAGGAGTACAATGAGAATACCCTAGAGATAACACAAGACATGGAATTCAAAAGAACAAATTATAAACATGTTAAAAGAATTCAGTGAATTTAAAGAACACAGAAAAAGAAATCAAAGAACTGAAAGAAGGTAGGGATAAACTGCTAAATGAATTCATAAAAGGGTTAGAAATATTGAAGAATAATAAGGCTGTAATGAAGAAAGAAGTGAAACACTCAATAAGCCAATTAGAAGTGACAGGAGAAAGCCTCACCAATACGATGAATGAAATGGAAAACAGAGTATCAAGACTGAAAGATAAAGTGGACGAACTAGACCACTCAAGCAAAGACTATGAAAAAATTTAAGAAATCACGAGAATGGAATATGCAAGAATTGTGTGACACCATAAAAAGACCAAACTTACAAATCATAGGCCTACAGGAAAGAGAAGAATCCCAAGATAATGGCATGGACCAAATCTTCAACAGAATTGTGGAAGAAAATTTCCCAAAGTTAAAGAAAGTCATGCCCATACAAATACAAGCATACAGAACACCAAACAGACAGGACCAGAAAAGAAACTCTCCAGGAAACATCATAGTAAAAACACTAAACATACAAAACAAAGAGACAATACTGAAAGCTGCAAAAGAGAAACAAGTCACACATAAAGGAAAACTCATTAGGATTACAGCTGACTTTTCAGTGCAAACTATGAAAGCCAGAAGAGCCTGGACCAAAGTACTCCCAGTTTTAAATGACCACAGATCCCAACCCAGACTACTATACCCAGCTGAAATGTCTATTTCAGAGGAGAATATCTGAAGGGGAAAGAAAAATCTTCCATGACATAAATAGGCTGAAGGAATTCTTGTCCACAAAACCAGCCCTTCAGAGAGTTCTGGGAGCAATACAAAGAGCTGAAGAAAGGAATGACTATACCCAAGGGGTTGCAGAAAGAACTCCAAGGAGGGTATAACAGTGTAAAAGTACAGCTATAGCAAGAATATAAACAAAAAAAATGACAGGATTCAATACTCATCTTTCATTAATAACTTTAAACATTAATGGACTGAACTCCCCAGTCAAAAGACATAGACTATATGAATGGATTAAGAAACAAACCCCATCTTTTTGTGGTCTACAAGAAACTCATCTCACTTTCAATGACAGACACTATCTCAAAGTGAAAGGATGGAAAAAATATACCAAGTAAATGGCACTAATAAAAATGCAGGCATAGCAATTCTAATATCTGACAAAACAGACTTTAAACTAAAACTAATCTGAAAAGACAAAGAGGGACACTTCATTCTGATCAAAGGAACAATGAATCAAGAAGATATCACAATCATGAACATATATTCACCAAACGCCAGTGCACCCAACTTCATAAAAACAATACTACAGGAATTTAAGACACAGATTAATCCCAACTCATTAATAGTAGGGGACTTCAATACCCCACTGTCTCCATTAGATAGGTCAACAAGGCAGAAAGTTAACAGAGAGACATTTGATTAAACAATACCATATATGAAATGGACTTAACAGACATCTATGAAGTATTCCAGCCAAGCACCAAAGGACATACTTTCTACTCCGCACCCCATGGAACCTTTTCCAAAATCAACCATATACTGGGGCATAAAACAAACCTCAACAAATACAAAAAGACTGAAATAATTCCATGCATTCTATCAGACCACAATGTAATAAAGCATACAATCAACACCAGAAGAAGCCCTAATCACCACATGAACACATGGAGATTAAACAACATACTCCTAAATGATGAATGGGTGAAAAGAAAAATTAAGAAAGAAAAAAAGTATTCCTGGAACTAAATGAAAATGACAGCCAAC